AGAAAATAAGTCGATGAACGCTGCGAAGTCTCGCGTAGACGAGCTACCTGCATACAAAGCGGTAGCAATTTCGTTTTATGATTCAGTAGGAGCACTAAAGACATTTGAATTTCAGCAAAAAATGAGGCAACCTGCAGATGACAACTTACATTTCAATAAGTTAAGCATTGCAAATGGGAAAAAATCCGGTTCACACATCCAAACAAAATGAAGGTAAGCCATTCTGGTAAGTGACAAAAGATGGGAAAAGGGAAGTTCATGGTGGAGATAGAAGAGCTTGGAAAAGTCAGAGAAGAGAGAAAGAAATATGACTCACTTCGAGGTATGTGTGAAGAGGAGAATGATTATGCGTAGAAGGCGGTGTAACGGTGACACCGCTTTCCAGATGGAGGTTGAGGAAGCCATCGATGAGGGTAAGACAACCTGTAATGCGTGTGTCGTCAAGGCGAGTCGCACACACCCGACTGTCCACCAACTTTGCAGCCAGCACGGCCAACAAACTCGAAGAGAGACGTCTCTCGGCGCGTAGGAAGGACTCCGCTTCCCGACCATGTGCCGTCTTGCTGCTGCTATTGCTGTTTGAGGCCATTGGATAACAATAGGTAACAGAAAGGTGTCTCCACTCACGGCAAATGACCTCTGCTAGGGTCTCAATGGATGCGGAAGTAATAAACCTATAAGAGGCAAAAGTGGAGAATGGGATAGCTTCTAAACCTTTAATCTGATTCCAAGATGACTGTGCGTCTTACGAAAATATAACAGTTAAAGTGAAGTGCAAGGCCTAGTTGAGTGTGCCAGGCCTCGATATTTCCAAGTCCCTAGGTTTACATGCTTAACACAAAGGCTTAGGAGCTTCGTCAGATCGAAAGACGTCCTAATTGACGTTAGTGATCCTATTGCAGAACAGGTAACCACCGACTTGTTTATGGTCAGAGAATGGGGGTGTGCGTAGTTTAACTTAGCTCCAAAGTTTTCATAACAATGCTGACAGTTCCTGCGCACAAACGTTATCTAAAACTATACAGTACCATTAGACGACTTTCAGGCTTTACGTCAAATGCAAATGCACACGTATATCGCACAAGCAGCACAGCTTAAGGGGTATTGCAGAGCCTACCATGACAATATCAATAGTAAATGCATGATAAATACAAGGCAAAGCGTGTAGCCATTGTAAGAAGGGGATCAACTAAACCCCACTCCCTTAGAATGGTCTTATCCTCTCAAAATGCATGACTTTTCAACAAGTTGAAGACAACTATTCCACAGAGCGCTACAACGCCAATGGCAGTCAACATCTTTATAACACAACGCCCCATCAACCAATGACTATGGGCTCTTCAATAGGAGAGGGTCGCAGTCATGTGTAATCGTGCGAAGCAGTCATTAAATTGACTGGCGAAACTCTATCCGATAAGCCATTGGGCGGTGGCTGCAGACAAAACTCAAAGCCGAAGTCGAGAAAAACCATTTCATGTTTGTTACTTTAACACAAATACTGCCAGATCTGAAACACAAGAGTTCTACCTTTTAACTGACCAAGTACCACAGGCTAAAATGTCCGATAATAACTCAACCAGATCAATTTAGGAACAGAGAATCCCGAAATTCTAGACAAAAATGGTTACCATTTCTGCTGATACGTGGCCTCAAACCAAGGGAAGTATTAAAAAGCAGTGAAAACTTATGATAGACTTATCAAACATGTAAATTGAGGTCCCGATTCAGTCAAATTTTCGAAAGTAGAGCGGCTAGAGAAATAGTACTACTGTGGAGGGACATTTGTAATACTTTGTTTAAGTCACTGGCTGTATTGGGCATTGGTTACTTTAGGATTCGTCTTGCACTTGTACGCGTGGGCTGACCTTCGGGCCCTTCTACTCTCCCCAGAACACACGTATTCAGCCCAGCTTAATGTTTTCATCTTCTACCTAGAGGGAGGCCTCGGGGTGCTACACAATGCAAATAATCCTTCCGTGCAAATGTGATTATCAGAGGAAAATGGAGGGACTCAGGTGCAGCTGAACGAGCCGCTTAAGTTACGTAAATGCGATGGCCAAAAAGCATTGCATTAAAAAGAAAGGT